CACGAAAGGCGCCGGCAAGAAAGGCAAATCCGGCAAGTCCGGAAAGAAATAGGGACAGCACGGCCCAGAGTCCTTGGGCTCTGGAGCCGACCATCGAATGACAGACCCACACGACCGGATTTGCACACTTTGCCACGAGCTGGTGGGCGCCTTGCCGGTAGTTCACCTGTCCTTCTTCGATGGTATCGGGATCGCCTCCGAGGCACTCCGACGCATCAACGAGAATGTCATCCTCACCCTGGCGTGGGAGATCGACGCCGATTGTGCCAGTTTCACATCGAAAGTATTCCAATCCGTACACCTGGGAGACGTCGGACAGTTCGACCTCGAGATTGTCGCAAGACACATCGAGAATGCGACGAACAACCGAAAGTACATCATGGTGATCACGGCAGGTCCTCCGTGCCCGGATTTCTCCGGTCTGCGAAGCCAACCCAAAGGATCCGACGGCACCTCAGGATGGCTGTTCAGACACATGGTCAGCATCGAACATCAAATTCGACAACGATTCACGGGCGTCCCGATCGAGACGATCTTCGAAAACGTGGTACCCCATCCCGATGTCCGAGACAATGTCGTGGAACTAACATCTCCGATGAGCATGGACCCGATCATCATCGACGCCGCCGACTCCGGAGTTATGCACCGCAAGAGACTGTGGTGGACATCGATCCTCTGGGACACCGTCGAAGAGAGACTACCTCGGCTCACACCCTGGTCCCTCGACTGGCGAATAGATGGAGAATGGCATCGACTACACAACCCGATTGGCACCGACCTACAACCCCAGATTTCCGCAAAGGGCTATTCCTTACCACCGTGCCTACACAACGACAAGAAACTGTTTCACTGCTTGACTACACCATCTACGTCGACTTTCGGACGAGGACCCCCTAGACAACTCCGAGACCGCCCGACTTCACAAGATGCATGGAACCGATGGGAACAAGATAACCGACGTTACCCGGTCTGGCAGTACGAAGAACAATTTATCGTCACCTTGCAGGATGGGTCATGGACTACGGCTCCTTCGTCTTTACGCGAACAACTACAAGGCTTACCATTGGACTATACGGCGACACTCGGAAATGGCGATGAGACAAAACGTTGCACTGCTTTGGGCAACGCTTGGCACCTGCCTACGGCGATCTGGATCATCTTCCTGCTCCTGCTGGGGACCGTCGATGCATCCATCCCGGAGACACCTCGAGTGTCCCCATTACAACAGATCACTTCCTTTTGGTTGCAATCTAAGGTACCCTTTGGTCCACCACCCCGAACACCGAATCATGACTATATGCCACAATTCTCCTGGACGGATCACCTTGAATGGGCACTACACAGGGACACACACTTATCACCCAAGACACTCGATCCTACACTTGAGTGGTGCCTACAACACCGACACACTTTCCACCCACTCATGGATTTCCAGAAGGCCGTCATCGCCGACATTCGTGAACTCGTCGCAGACATGGAAGAACACACGACGGCCTGGTTCAACACTCTTCCAGAACACGTACAACGAGCATATCGTCACAAGAACTCGGTCACACAAATACCTGTCCTTGTCCACCTTCTTCGAATGATACAATATCCACAAACCGAGCTGATCTACCGCGAGCTCTCTGAAGGCTTCCCCCTTATGGGGAAGTTGACTCCGGGCATCAACTGGCATGTGCGACAAGACAAGAAGTACCTCGAGCCCACTCCCATTGACGAGTTCCGCGAGAACAATCGACAGTACATCAAAGAGAAGATCGCCCTAAACTCCGTTGACGATCATTGGGAACTCATGCTAGACGAGATCTTAGCGGAGGTCGACCTCGGTCGGATGAATGGACCGCTCGAGGCACCGGATTGGTGGCCCCGGACAGCGACCGTCCCGCCTAAGGGACGACACCGAACATTACTACCATTGCCACACTCCGACCCGTACATTGCCATGGCTTTCAGCATCGAACAGACGGGCAGCGACGGCAACAACAAAGTCCGACGAGGAGAAGATTGGCGACGAAGCGGACACAACGCGACGTGCACGATGCACGACCAACCATACCATCACACACCCGATCACTTCATATCCCTGGGACTCGCGACGATCCGACACGATCAACTTAAGCCCCTCTCAGTCTGGGGACATGACCACGATGGAGCTTATCGACAACTTCCACTACGAGATCCTCGCGAAGCATACGTGATGCTACTCATACCGGACGGCCCGACACTGTGGAGCCACAATGTCCTGCTCTTTGGTTCGGCAGCCAGTGTCTGGTCGTATAACCGATTCGGCGACATTCTGGTCGCGTGCAGTCGCACGATGATTCTGTCACCAGCGATGCACTACGTCGACGACGGATCCATGGAAGACTCCGATTTAGCCAAGGGCAGCTTTGAATCCTTCGAGGAGTACAACGGTTGTCTACAAATCTCGATGAAACCCAGCAAGAGACAACCACCTCAAACCGCACATCGGATCCAAGGTGTCATCATCTCCTCCGACAGCGACTCCGTGTCCCAAACGCGTCGAGAATATGTGTAAGCAGATCGACCTACACCTGGCGACTTCGTCATTGTCACCCGAACAAGCCAGGAAAATGGCTGGGAAGTGCAATTTCCTCACAGGTCGACTCTTCGGGAAGGTGGGCCGCGCGGCCCTGAAAGCATTATATGCTCGCGCCCATTCTTACTCACATGCTCTCGACAAACCCACTCGATCGTCACTACTTTCACTCAAGGACATCATACAACATTGTCGCCCGATGACGATACCACGACAGATGACTCGAACTACATACAGTGTCATCTACACGGATGCGTACTTCCGCCTGGGCGACCACACCTACAGGCCGGGGGACGATGACATCCCGAATTGGGACTCGAAATCTACATCCGACATCGAGAACGGATGGGCTGCAGTTTGCTTCCACCGCGGTGATGTGCAAACGGCAGCTTACTTCCAGGGTCGTCTCCCCTCACTACTCGTACGACAATTTTCCTCCGACCAGGCTTTCATTTACCTCCTCGAAGCTTGGGTCGCTATCTTGGCTCCACTGGTCTTCGAGCCATGGCTTGACAAGTTCTACGTCCAGTGCTGCGACAACGAGGCTTCTCGACACGCCCTACTCAAAGGCGTCGGCAAACACCAGCCCCTGAATTGCCTCATTGCGGCACACTGGACTTGGCATAATCGACGAAGTCTTGCACACCGACTCGAACGCGTTCCCACCAAAGCCAACATCTCCGACGGGATCAGCCGCTTCGAGCATGTGCCAGAGTCTGCGACATGGACTAAACTCGACTTACCTGTGCACGCTTTGACCAGTAGGGCTGCGAAGATTATAAGAGATATTCATTTTGCTTCTTCTACGGGTTTTTCCGAACTACCCGAAATTCGCAGATTGCATGATCAGTTGACTACGATGCTCGTTTGATTTATCTTTCGAGTGGCGTTCGCCTGCGATGGGAGGACGCGACCACCACCGATGGGAACCAGTCGGTCCTCCCAACAGAAAGAACTCTGTCACATCGATCTGTAAGATCGATGACTGCGATCTGTAAGATCGACTACGATCTGTAAGATCAAAACGCAGACATAACGCCACCGAAGCGGAAGCAGTTGGAAAACAGCTCCGTACTTGCCAGGGATTCATGGCCTTTGTGTGAGATCTCCGTTGTCGTGTAGCACACACTTGTTTGTGCGAAGTGACAACATATTATCTCACTTGATCACCGAATCGGTCAGGGGATAGACTCACCGATTCAATTCGAATGATTGTACACTCCGTGGCCATTTTGGCGAAAAGCTGTTCCAGCTTGAGAAATTTTGTTTCACCCACCCGTCCCGACCCTCTTTGGACTACGATATATTTTCCTCTGCTTCCTGTCTGCGAGTACCGCCTGGGAACCAGTCGGTCCTCCCAACAGAAAGAACTCTGTCACATCGATCTGTAAGATCGATGACTGCGATCTGTAAGATCGACTACGATCTGTAAGATCAAAACGCAGACATAGCGCCACCGAAGCGGAAGCAGTTGGAAAACAGCTCCGTACTTGCCAGGGATTCATGGCCTTTGTGTGAGATCTCCGTTGTCAGGGGGTACAGCCTCGGCTGACCTCTTCCCAGGGCACCGCTTTAGTAGAAACCACCGTGGGACGCTGCTCAGACCTCACAGGGCCTGGAAACGGCTGGGAAAGTGATGACGCCGCCACACCACAGACGAAACGTAGTGTGTGTCCAGCCCGGCTGAAGGCTGCGGGCAGCCAACGTGGTGCTAAAATGTACCTTTGATGGTTTTGAAACTGGCCACAGAAGGATCCGGTATGTTCCAGCATGACTCGCGGTATTGGGTGGACCTGAAGCACATCAGAGAAAACTCTCACGGAGTCCTTTTCGTACCACAGAATCCACAGTTGATTCAACACGTTATGCAGTGAAGTCGCCACCATCAGTTCGTGACAGTGTGCAGTTCTTGGCTGCACACTTGCATTTGTGAGCCGCGAAGCCTGGATAAATGGGGGCGTTGGGGCGTGCGTTTTTATCGCGGTTCGTTCAGGGTCCAGCATGATGCATCGTCTCAGAGTTGCCGTCGCCAGCCAATTTCGGACGAATTGATCGGACCTGAATGCATTCTGCACTGGTTGAAGCTGGCCCAAACTTTCCAAAGATTCAGCCGTGGCCTTAGAACTAGCTCGAATGCTTTCCGCACGTACACGAACTTATCAAGCACTCGCTCTCTGAAGCAAGCCGCAAACCTGACGAAGTAAAACAACCATGTTTGAATGACGACCTCGAACATGGAGTGTCGTGTTGACGTTGAGGGTCATGGTATGGGAGATGGTACAGACTGTCGTAATGCTTCAATGGTGCGGTTTGCTTCTTCAATCGGTTGCCTCCGTGACGGCCCAGTGGGGCCTGGTTCAACACATGCCGTAACAGGTTGCCCATCGCCGTGCCGCATTTACGCTGTTTCCAGCCTGTTGAACCCAGCTGGTATCAGGTGACGGTGCCAAGCCGCTGAAGGCTGATGAGGATGCAAAGAAGCTGGTTCGAATTTACACGGTGCCTCGGCCGGCACAGCTTTGTTGGCTTTTCCAGCCGTGGTGCCCATGCTATAGTATAATGGGCCCCAAACTATTCTACTTATTAAGGCCGCCTATATTAAATCCTTATAATAGCCCTTATAGTTGCCCTTGATAACAGCCCCTAAATTAATACTCTTTGTCCCTTTTTTGAGGCTATGTCCGCCATCTGGTCTCTCGGAGCGAACATCCACGAGAATTCGCACCGGGCTGAGACGCGGCAAGTTCTTGGCCCAAGATGCAAAGCAATGGTTTTTAGGGTTTAGGGTTTAGGATACTCTGTTTCAAGTCTGCAGCCAGTCAAGCGCTGGAAGCTGCGCTTCAAGTCAAGAAGGGTTGCTCGGTAAAGTTCAGCTCGCTGCATGTCCTGTTCGTGGACGTTCCTCTCGAAAGCCACGGCGAACAACTACTTGTAGGTCTGCAACAAGTATGTATCTTCGAGCCAATGCTAGTGGCAATGTGGCCTTGCTTCGGTTGCTGGACCCGAATCTGGCGACGTGGTGCAAGAACCCCAATCCTCTATGAGATGTTTTTGCGCTTCCTTCGCGGTTCAGCTCAAGACAAAGTCTTGTGCTCGAAATGGATATGTGGGCAATAAGCCTCCAAACTACGTGTGAGCTGCAGGCGATCCAAGTTTGTGGCCCGGATTCGCCCGCGGCTTCAGCTGTTCTGTCCAGAGGCCCGGTGCAATTCCAGATGTCCTGTCCCGCGATATCATGTGGGAAGTTGCCAAAATTATGGCCCCTGATTGGATACCCTAAATATTAGGTGCCGTATGATAATTAGGACCCAAACAGGGAACATAATTTTGACAACCACTCATGTATGTCATGTGCAAATGGATGCAGGTTCCGGACAGTGGTGATCTCTACATGACACAGCCTCAAAGTGTGTCCTTTTGACTCTTATGTGGACAGACATCAGGCCAGTGTCTGCTTTGCACAAAGAAGGTTGGCCGTCAACGACGATGATGGAAAAATCCATCCGCTCGCTGACATCGTCCCGAGTTTCAATTTCAATCCGCAGGAGCCGGGGACTCATTCCGTCCCCTAAAGAAAGCCTATTCTCATTATTACTGCCCCTACTAAACCCTTATAATAGCCCTTTTTGTAACCCTCATAAACCCTTTATCAGAACCCTTTACGGGCTCTCTCTCCTGGAAGCTCCGAGCGTCAGCTCAGGCCTTTCTTCAACATTTTGGTCAACACTCCCGAGACGGTCGGGCAACGAATGCTGGCCGGGACCCGGGTTCCTTAAAAGGTCCCTTAAAGGGTTCTATCAGGGTTGTATAAGGGATTTAAAGGGGCTGTACCTGAAATCATACAAGGGATCAGCCAGTAGCAGCTATCTTGATCTACCGTGTGTCACAGGAGAAGCGTGTTGTGCTTGAGGGATCGGAAATCGTGGTGAGGTTGAAAACTTGATGGTGGCGAACTTCAACGTGCTGTTCTCCGGAGAGACAGGCTTCAATGGTCTGATGCTGCTGTTCCATGTCAGAGGATGTTCACATGCCAGGTGTTGGCAAGTCGGTTGTCATTCAGCAGTTCCTGAACACGGCCGGAAGCTGTGCGTTTGTGCGGATCTGTGCGTTCCACACAATGCTTACATGCTGCATCTGCAGGCGGGCGAGCTCTTTGCAACCGCAAGTGCCAACTTCAGCGCCCAAACAAGCACTGCCAACGTCGGTGACTTGGGAGGAGCAGAGCAAAAGGAAGCGGAAGTGCTCCTGGTAAAGCCGAGGTTGTGGACCAATTTGAGAACCGGCTCGAGCGCAAGCGCAAGACGCTGCTGGGAGCTCCTCCTGGCACCACGATGCGCCTTCCTCAGCATTGTGGACCGGACACCATTGCTGCTGTGACCAGTTTGTTCAGCAATGTTCAGCTCCTTGGTTTTACTGTAGGATCTTTTTCGTGGATGACGTCAACATGCCCATGCTTGAGCCAACTGCTCAGCACCCCCAGCATTGATCTGTGGCTCACTTGATTCTGCACGCAAGGTTTTATGGGGCCCAGCCTCCAATTGAGCTGCTGCGGCAGGCCGCCAGTGCCTGTTAAGGTCGAAGCTGAAGGTGAGAGAAGGACTCTTCTAAAGACTCTAACGATGCGAGGTGATCGACTATGGAGGCTTTTATGACAAGAAGAAGCTCTTCTGGCCAGGGACCCTGCCCGGATCCGACTTGATCAGCCCAGGGTCATCCCTGAGCTCTGAGGAAACAGGTGGCCGACACTCAATTTATCTTGGCTTGCGGCCCACCTGGTGGAGGTCGCATGGCTGTGACGCCCAGGCAGGAACGACAAAGCCCACTGGAAGCGACTGAGTGACTGTGCATGGCTGCATGGCCTACTGCAGGCTCTTCCGCCACTTCAACATGATATGGATCCCGGTACAGCGCTGAGCGCACACTGACATGAGTAGCATTGTGATGCTATGAGCACCACACATCGTGCGTAGCGTCGCACGTGCCGTCTCTCCGTAACTGGATCCCTTAAGCTTGAAATTCAATCGTCTTCTCCCAGAAAAGCTCGGAGTGGTGGTCCGGCCCCATATTCAGCTTCCGGGCTGGGGCTGAGGGTTGAGAAGGTGAGCGGCAGCGCGGAATATGACCGGGCGGGTTCTGGCAACAGAGCCGAGAGCAACAGCAGGGTTGCAGTCGGACCCCATATTTCTGGAAGATACGAGTAACGGTTGGTGGAGGCTGGATGCCAGCTGCCCATATCGAGTGAGAGCGTCGCGTACCGACTCTAACCACCCGGTGAATGCCCGTTTGACGAAGGATGATATGTGGTGCCCAGATTCGCAATGAGGGGGAGTGCACAGCCGCATGGCACAACGCCTCAACTGAGGCTTTGTCGCAAGACGCCATGCAACGAATCCTCTCCAGCATCCTAGGCTGGTGCTGTATGTTCGCTTCCTTGCTGCGTTAGTCTGCGCACCGACACTTGGAAAGCCTTCAAGTCCTGGGACTATGTGTTTGCTTTCGATTTGGCTCGGGCACATCTGGCTGACGCCGGTTTGTGCATGCTACATGTCCGGACGACAGAAGCAGTAGAAAGCCAGCTGGTGATCTGTAGCTTCCAGGCTTCAAGCTTCCGGTACTCATCAGCCCAAGAGATGCTAGCACTGTCATCCGTGCTAGATTTTGCTAGATTATCCACATTTGCCGTAGCATTGCATCGTCCGGCTGCTTGCAAAAGGGAGTCTCGTGCTGCACGTGGCTTTGAACGGTGTTCGATGATGTGCAAGACTGCAGGAACCATTGTCTGAGCAAGAAGCGACCCAGGAACAGGTTGAGATGAACGGCGGCGGACCTTGGTACGGTTCCAACTCAGGCAGCTACAGTGGAGGCGGCAGGTTTTGTCAAAGCACCTGTGCAGTGTGTCCGAACATGTCTTGACGTTCGCAGATGGTGGTTTTGGCGGAGACTACGCATCCGGCAGTTATGGCTACGGAGGCTATGGCAACGGCTATGGTGACTCCTGGGAGGGAGGCGGCCCTGCAGCATCCGAGAATTATGTATGAGAGAGATGGGTCATACAAACCTGCGAATGAATCACTATCAATGTTTTTGTTTTTCTATGTGCATGTGAGTACTTGTATAGGTTTGCATGCACGAAGAACCGACCAGACGAAAGGACGTTTTCCTTATACCCGTGTGACTGTTTCAGAACTGGACGATCGGACGTTGTCCGTTCAGGGGGGCTTGTGCGCAGTGTGTGCAGGTTCAGGGTTTAGTTTAGCGAGTCGTGTCGTGCAGGGTTTGCACAGAGTTTCGAATCACGATGCTGGTGCATTTCCAGTTCTGGTGGACAGGCTTTGTGGGTTTTAAGTATTTAGGGCTCAGAGATCTGGGGATGAAGGAGGGTGCAGTGTTTAGGTGTGATGGGGAAATTGGGGTCGGGACCGTGCGTTAAGGTTTGCAGAGTTTTGAGTTTACGACTGGTTAATTGGTTTCTGGGTTTATGCGACCTGGGTTAGTGCACGGCGCTTGCAGAGGTTCGCAAGTCAGAGATTGATTGTATGGTTTATTTACTTGATTTTACAGGTAGGTTGTATCAAGGATTATGGAGTTTAGGGTTTGTTGGGTAGTTTTGTGCGCAGAGTTTGTGCGAGTTTCAGTCGAGGTGCAAGGAAAAGGGGGATCAGGGTTTAGGGTAAAGCAGCGGATCATTTTCTGTAGAGTTTCCGTTGGTTTTTGCGGTGCTAGTTCGGTGCCATGAGCCGATATTTTCCCAGTATCTCAACGGCATATCTGGAAAAGGCGCGATCCACTATCGAAATCGGTACAACGGCGAATGTGCACGACAAAGTTTGACCAACGATCCGAAGTGGCGCAGCGACGCATTGCTGCAAAGGTGTTTGTTGACACTATTTGTGCCATGCTGAAATGTCAACGTGTGCAAACACATACGCACTACAACAGTATGTGTATGTATTATACAAATAAATAATATATATATATATATATATATATATATATGTATATATATATATATATATATATATATATATATATATATATGAATATATATATATATATATATATATATATATGTATATGTATGTATATGTATGTATATGTATGTATATGAATATATATATATATATATATATATCTATGATTCTTCTATGTATGTGTGTATGCATGCATGCATGTACGTATGTGTGTGTGCGCGTGCACATAGCCAACACGCAGACTCACATGTCCGCATGCATTTGGGGAGCTTGCGTAGGTAGATATCTGAATCCGCCTTGGTTCATGCTTGATCCTGTGGCAGGAAAAGGCATGAAGGGTGCAGGCAAAGGTGGTGGAAAGGGTGCAACGATGTGTCTCTCTGCTGCATCTAGCAGTCCAATGGTGTGACGAGCCAACATGCTCCATGATGCTCCATGTTTCGGTTTGCAACTCTTCAACAGCTGGTCTCATTTGCAGATACCGGAGACTATTCGTCCGGCAATTACGGCTATGGAAGCTACGGCGATGGTTATGGTGACTCCTGGGAAGGAGACAGCCCTGCGGTTGCGTTTGGGCGCTGGTGAGCTTTGTGTTTCGACGTGGATGCACGTTCCTTCCAGCCGAAGCTTGCGATTTGCGAACAACTGAGCAGCACAACACACCATCGGAATAAACAGTGGTTTTGTAGTGCGAAATGAAACAGCGTATCCTTGTGCGCAATAGTGCTTTTTGGGAGATAGAGAGAGTTGCGTTAAAATGCGATGCCCGCCACACCATGCATCCCAACTCGATCATTCGTGATCCTTTGGGAGTAGCCCTCACTGGAACCAACGTGGTTGCTGCGCACGGTAGAGGTCATCAGCAGATTAGTGGTATGCGCTGCTGAGTACATTGGTGACTGAGGCAAATTCTACATGCAGGGAAACCGTGGTGATACCTACTCTCATGGCGATGGTGGTTCTGGAAGCAAGGCTGGAAAGCTTGAACAGTTGATCGAAGCATGTTCCTCCACGACTGCAGGACTGGTCATGCGCGACAGCTCCTGCGCAGAAGTCTGCCATGTGTGACCTGTCTTCAACATCTTGGACCTGGGAAATAGGCCATGCTTACACAAAACCTGTGTGTTTCGATTGTCAGGCCTTGTGCTTGACATGAGGCTCAAGTTCTTTCTGCAGCGCGCGTGACGACCGATTCTCTGCGCTCATGTGAACTGAGGTCCCGGCTACAACGACTGGGGAAATGAGTGGGATGCTCAGGACTTGGTTCCCCAACAACCTTTCATGGGCGGCTCATGTTGGAGTGAAAGGTTCTTGGTGGGTATCACGCTGATGGCTTTGGGCTTGTTGGTAAGCCTTTAAAGCCTTTCCCCCAAACAGATCTGAATAGGTCTTTGGTCCGATCGGTGTGGCACAGCCTGGTGTCATGAAGCAAGAGCACACCGTGAGACAAGCACGTGCACAGCCTGCGGCCTCGTGCATTTCGTGATACCTCGTGCATTGCGTGGGTGGGAAGTACAGTGATGATGAAGGGGTGATGCTGGGATGCGATGGACATGTCAAGCATTCGAGTGTTGTCACTTCTGGCTGTCACAGCGTCGTATCGAAGCGCTGTCTAGTCTGCTTGTTCATGGCATTGGTGGTGTTGCCCTCGATCAGAGGGCAGTGGCATGGCGCTAGGCTCATAAGCTGCGTTGAGAGAGTCCGGCGTTGCGGCTGCAAAACCGCAACAGGCTTCGAGAGGACAAGATACCGGCCCCAAGCCTGGGAGCTCACTGTTTCCACTTTGCGTCGCCATCGTCATTTCTTGCGTGTTTCTACTAAGTAGCCGGTGCGGGTGCTGGTCACGACGGTCTGAAAGTTGGAGTTTCACGAACTGTGTAGAGCCTGACCGCATGCTCCTGTGCTATCGGCGAGGACGCATCTGCGCAAAGGCGGATGGATCGCAAAGAACGTGACGTCGAAGAAGAGTTGCTGGCAGAAGAGATGGAAGAGATGGAGCGCATAGACAAAGTGACTTGACGGCACGACCATGTTGTCGCAATTCTCGCGTGATCCCATGACTCCCAGGGGCAGCGAGACAATGACAACGCAAGCGAGGCCGTGCTTGTCTTAATTGTTGCCGGTCCGATTAGGCAGTGGATGCGGAAAAATGAATTCTGCCGAGTCTTTCGTGGGGCCAAGGGCAGCGATGCTTTACCACCACCAGCAACAGAGGGGGAGATTCAAGAAGCCCGGGAGATTTTCAGGAAAGCGCAGGCTCGGAGAGAGCGATTTGCAAGCTCCCCACACACGGCGTGTTGCTACGTACTATGCCTTGTGACGAAGGAAGATCTCAAAGAGCGCAACCGGATGAAGGCCCGCACTGCACCCCGGAGATGTTCAGGTGCAGAATCTATGCCGACTTAGGAACTGGTCAAGGGTGCGAACCAGAGCGATCTACAGGCAAACTTCATGTCAGTCGTACTTGTGTGACATCCATGCGACCTGAATGTGGCTTGAAGAAGGCCATGATCAATGCACGGCTGGCCAAAAGGTAAGGGCTCGTGTCCGAGCTTCTGCCCATGCCTTCGGTGCCAAGAATTCTCATGGCCTTGCAAGCTCTCAGGTCTGGCAGACATACAGGCAGCCCTCGGCGTGGCAGCTGCTCATTTGTGGCAAGCTCAGCAGATATGACAGCAGGAAAGACTTCGCGGAACTGTTGTGTGTCGGAGGACTCATCTGTGCTTGCAGTGATCGTCGCAAAATGATCGGTCAACACTGCTGTGGGAGGAGCCGTTCAGAATAATCTCAATTTGCATCCACTGCATGTGGTGGTGTAGCAGCTCGCTTCGAAGAAGATGCAAAGAGTAGGGTAAGTGGCTAGGGCCTAAGGTGCTGCTGAGTAAGGAAGTGGATGCACCTGTGATGCGGAATCCTTAGCACCCGGAGTTGACAACGCACGATGCAGGTAAGAGTTTCGATAGGAAGCCTGGACAGATGTGCTCCAAGCTGCGTCAGATCAGATTGGAAAAAGTTATGGACGCATTTCTGAAGTCTGCTTTTGTCTTGCTGCTGTCACACTTGCGTCTGCACAGGGCCTTGTGGTTGTGGACTTGATGCTGCTAAGCGCCACTGCAAATCTCTGGAGTGCAGGCGGCTGGCTCGGTGTCAACAAGCCGGACCTCCAGGAGCTTTCGGTTCCAGTCATCAACGCGACAGCTCCTCTGCAGAAGTGGAGCCGTTGAGGGTTTTCCGCTGGACTGCAAGGGGATTGCCATTTAGAACTGTGTCCCTTGACGCGGCAAGTGAACTCAGGTGAAGATGTTCTTCCAGATCTCAAAGGACCTGCTACCGACACCAGTGAAATGTCGTGGCCATAGGAAAACACACCGCTCCTGAGAGTTGTCCCTTGCCACGGCACCCGATGTCAGACTGGCTCTGTTTCAGGTCATTACACCTTCAATCTTCGCGACCCCGCAAAGATGGTACAGGCTCCACGAACTGACTATTCCTTCTACGTCGTCAAACAGCTTGCGTCCATGACGCCTGCAGGGCATGCTCATGGTGGATGTGAAGACCTCGCTCAAAAGCAACCAGGAAAACTTGTGCGTGCAATGTCTGTACCATGCGTGATCAGGTGTGACCGGCAAGCATCCACCTTGTGATCTTTTGAACGTTTGTTCGTGAAAGGCACCCCATAGATAGGAGTGGCTGTCGCCAGGTTTGCAGTGGACAAGAACGGTATTTACTCCGTTCAATCCAACTGAACCGACTTGCCTCGACAAGGGAATAATGACTAGGAGAGCCCCTGTCTCCGTTTTTGAGCCCCAAGCTGAAGAAATCATTAGCGGCATTTTGTAACTTCCCTATTTCAGTACGAGTAGCATTAACGCATCTGTGCAGGACCTCATAGATCTGTTCTTACACGAGAGCTGCCGGGTCTTCCGAGAGCCTTGGTGGCATGCAGTACCTGAGGCTTCCAGAGGCGTTTGTTTGATGGGTTTGCGGTTTAGGGTGCTTTCTTGGCTTCTGTCTCGCCATGTCTCGTCGTCTTCCGTGTATATGGGAGTTTGCGGAAATTTTTGGGGGTACTTATAATAAAGGATCCTACTACATTAGGGTACTAGATTAGGGTCTCCTATTTTCGGAAACTCCCATATAGGGGCTGCCGCGAATCAGTGTCGGAGCTTCGTCGGGCCTGAACACAATACACGCCTCCTCGTGACGCATGTACTATTCCAAAGACCTGTAGCATCGGCGCTTAAAGGACACAACAGCATCCTGCATACTAGGTCTTGTAGGAACCAGCCCGGCTTCCTTTCACTCAGGGATCGTTTTCAAAATCGTTTGCGCGAGTCTGGCTGCTTCATGCCGCCACGCCTTATGTTTTGGAGATGCTTGCCTTCGACTCCTAGCAGCTTCGAGCAGGCCTGGGGGAGGCAGGGATGCACAGAAACTGTTGAGGACCGTCTCATTGATGATGTCGACCGAGAATGGTCCGGAACTCACTGCTCGAGGATTCCGACGGTCAGAAAACCAAATTACGTTTTCGAAACACACTTGTATTCTTTTTGTCATCACGCTTCAAGGTTCAATTCCATGATCGCAGACAAGCTAAACGCTGAAATTGCCGGTGCTGCGAAGATTGATCAGCCGGACGCTCTGTGCCACATCATGCTTTTGCCCGCAACCGGCATAATGACATCAGCTGCAAGGTTCAGAGATCTCATATTCGGCGATTTCCTGACACGGGGTGGCGTGACGGACTAAGCTGCCCTGCATTTGCTTGATGTGATTGATGGGCTTGGCGCCTGCACCGAGAGGCTTTGATACATCGGCTCAAGGAGTCGAAACCAAGAAGCCTTTCAGCTCGAAGCCCAAGTAGTCCAAGTTTCCCTTGCAGGGCGTCACGTATGGCGGTTGTCAGCAAGATGGCTCGGTCAAAAGGCCGCGTAGCGGTAGGTGGCGCCGTGGCTGCTGCCGCGCTGCTGGCAGCCCCGAGCTTCCTTGCTCCAGGACAGGATGTCCCCCGTCAGATGCAACTGCAGACGCACCAGGTCAGCACAGCTTCGGCTGGTGACGAGGCCAGGAACCTGAACATGGCAGCAGCAGGTGCCAGCGCCATGAGCATGGGCGCAGTCGCTGCTCTGGGGCCCCGCCGTACAGCCAAGCGCGGGCCTTCCAAGCGCAAGACAGCTGTAGCTGTGCGCTCCAGCGAAGACGATCGGCAGGGTCCCGAAGGCCTCGCGGAGCTCGTGGCCTTGGCTGAGCAACTGCTTCGGCAGCCCGAACCGCAGCAGGTGGCTCTCCTCGCGCAGCGGCTTCAGGCTTTTGCTGCTAACGAGCTCCGCCGAGGTGCTGTGCTCTCGGCCCCAGCTGTCCAGGCCTTCGTGAAGGTTGCAGATGCCGGCGAGTCGCTGCGGGGAGGCGCCGAGAAGCAGCTTCGCTGGGCGGCCGGCGCTGCCGCATCGCTTCTTCTGACTTACAGCGTCAGCCTGCAGCCGGCCGTGGCGGCGGATGCCGTCAACTATTCCGATTTCATGGAGTCCGTGAACCGCGGTGACGTTGAGATGGTGCGTGTCCAGGATGACCAGCTTTCCGCCCAGTACACCACCAAGGATGGCGCTCGTCACGAGGTGAACTTGATCCCCAATGGACAGATTCAGGACCAGTTGTTCAACAGTCTTGCGGAGAAGAAGGTGGATGTGGTCATGCAGACCCCTGGAGCCAACAGTGGTGGGCCCCTGGACTTCCTGGCACGCTTCGCCGGCCCCATCGCCTGGCTGATCGCAGGACTTCTTGTTCTCTTCGGAGGCGCTGGCATGGGAGGACCCGCAGGACCTGGCGGCCCGGGCGGAAACCCGTTCGAGCTCGGCAAGTCCAAGGCTCGGATCATCAAGGATGGGGACACCAAAGTGAAATTCGCAGACGTCGCGGGATGCGATGGGGCCAAGCAGGAGCTTGTAGAGGTCGTCGACTTCCTGAAGAACACCTCGCGCTACTCAGAGCTCGGCGCCAAGATCCCCAAGGGTGCCCTCTTGGTTGGGCCACCAGGTACCGGAAAAACGTTGCTTGCAAAGGCAGTGGCCGGCGAGGCGGGCGTTCCGTTCTTCAGCATCTCGGCATCGGAGTTCGTTGAGATCTTCGCTGGGATCGGCGCCTCGCGTGTGCGTGACCTCTTCGAGCAGGCGAAGAAGTCAGCCCCCTGCATCATCTTCATCGACGAGATTGATGCGGTGGGCCGCCAGCGCAGTGCCGGCTTCGGCCAGGGCAACGACGAGCGAGAGCAGACAGTGAACCAGCTGCTCACGGAGATGGACGGTTTCGAAGCGAACAAGGGCGTCGTGGTAATTGCTGCCACGAACCGAGCCGACATCCTGGACCAAGCCTTGGTGCGGCCAGGACGCTTCGATCGCCAAATTCAGGTGGATCCTCCCGACGTCCAGGGCCGCTCCGAGATCTTGAAGGTCCACGCCAAGGGCAAGAACCTGGCAGCTGGTGTTGACCTCGCAGCCATTGCCCGACAGACCCCCGGCATGTCTGGCGCGGATCTCGCCAACCTCCTGAACGAGGGTGCCATCGTCGCGGCGCGCCAGAACAAGGCGGAGATCGACTCTGACGACATCTTCAATGCACTGGAGCGGATTGCTATTGGCTTGGAGAAGAAGGATGCCGTCATGTCCGAGCAGAAGAAGAGGCTGGTGGCATACCACGAGGCCGGTCACGCCATCCTGGGTGCATTGATGAACGACTATGATGTCGTGGCGAAGATCAGCATCGTTCCTCGTGGGCCTGCCGGCGGCGTCACGATCTTCATGCCCTCAGAGGAAAGGCTCAATTCCGGTCTCTACTCGAAGGAGTTCCTGGAGAATCGCATGTGCGTGGCGCTGGGCGGGCGCCTGGCCGAGGAGATCATCAACGGCAGGGACAACGTGACGACGGGGGCGTCGAACGACTTCCAGCAGTGTACGCAAGTAGCGAAGCAGATGGTCATGTCGCTGGGCATGTCCCCGGAGATTGGCCAGCGGCTCCTCGGAGGACAGCAGGGCGGTGGCCCTTTCATGGGCCGCGACTTCATGGGCCAGGGTGCTCCTCCCATGTCCCAAGCACTGAAGCAGAAGGTGGACGCCGAGGTCAAGCGTATCGTGGACGAGCAGTATCAGCGTGGCATGAAGCTCCTGCGCGACAATATGTATCTCCTGGATGAGCTTGCCAAGCAGCTCATGGCGGAGGAAAAGGTCTCCGGCGAGCAGCTGATGAAGCTGATCAACAAAGCAGCTGCCGAAGGAAAGCTCGTCATGGGCAACACGAAGATGGCAGTTGCCGCCTACACAGGTGAGGTGGTCGAGACAACCGCCGAGGTCTCCATGCCTCGCAAGACACAGTGCCTGCATCCGGACAAGCCGATGATGTTTGCTTGTGCCGACTGCCCTCGCCGCGGCTTCTGCGGCTCGACGCGTGCTTTGCAACAGGGTGGCAAGGCCGCTCGCAGCGCTGTTGCAAGGCTTGGGCTGGCAACGCCTGAGACTGAGAGCCGGGAGTCCACCAGCGAGGAGGTCCTGCGCCGAGTGAAGGACATGGCCGAGGTCTCCACCGGGGCTGCGCTGCCCGACACCGTCGTGAAGCACGCTGCTGTGCAGGTCCTGGCGGCTCTCGCTGCCACCGCGGCACCGTTGGCAGCCAAGGCTGACGATGTGCCAGCACTGCAGTCCATGGGCACACCGCAGATGCAGATGCAGCAGCCGGGTGGAGGGGGCTTCGCCAGCGTCAGCGGGCGTGTGACCTACTCTCGTCTCCTCGAGTTCGTGGATGAGGGTTCTGTGAAGCGCGTGGACTTCTACGACCTTGGCCGCACAGCTGTGGCCACCGTATCTGTGGGTGGCCGCGAGCAGCAGCTTGTTTGCGATCTTCCCGGAGCCACCACAGGCCTTATCGAGAAGCTGACAGCCAAGGGTGTCTCCATTGAGGTCCATCAGCCGGAGAAGCCAAGTCCTTTGTTCAACGTCCTGGGTGATGTTGCCCTCCCCCTCCTGCTCATCGCAGGCCTGCTGTTCCTGCGCTCTCAGGCCCCCGGAGGTGGTGGCGGCATCCCAGGCTTCGGCAACCAAGGCCAGGCCAAGATCATGATCACGCCTGAAACCGGCGTGAAGTTCGAAGACGTGGCTGGCATCGACGAGGCAAAGGAAGAGCTTATGGAGATTGTGGACTTCTTGAAGGCACCCGAGAGGTTTGTGAAGGTCGGGGCAAAGATCCCTCGCGGGGTGCTGTTGACAGGACCCCCCGGCACCGGCAAGACGCTGATGGCCAAGGCATTGGCGGGTGAGTCCGGCGTGCCCTTCATTCAGTCGTCCGCCTCAGAGTTCATCGAGCTTTTCGTCGGTGTGGGCGCCTCCCGGGTGCGAGACATCTTCAAGCAGGCCAAGGAGAAGGCTCCATGCATCGTGTTCATCGATGAGATTGATGCAATCGGTCGCCAGCGCGGGGCCGGCATGGGTGGCGGCAACGACGAGCGTGAGCAGACACTGAATCAGATCCTCACGGAGATGGACGGCTTCGAGGGCAACAGCGGTGTGATCGTGGTCGCGGCCACGAACAGGTCCGACATCCTGGACAATGCCTTGTTGCGTCCTGGC